GTCATTATAAATAAGGTCCAATATCATAAAATATGTAAGCAAGTAGATAAACTGGATTAGACATAATTAATCTGAATATAAATGCATTCATACAATATGCAAGGTGAACTATTAATAATGTCATGCATATTTAAAATTAAAATGAGCTTGTTAACCACATAATACAATAAATCTCAATCGAACAAGAGATCATTATCATTATTGGTGAACAATCCCTTTTAATTAATGCGGGTCCCTCAACTCTGTAGCATAATAAATCAACTAATCAATATGTCAATAACTTATCCTGTTGGAGGAGTTCATTATTACTATTATTGAGATTCATTTGCTATTAAGCGAGCACTTCTATTAAAATAATAATATGTGGGTCCCTTAATCACTGCATAAAAAATCGAATAACCAATACGCCAATAACTTATTCGGTTGGCGAAGTTCATTATTGCTATTGGCGGGCAAATCCCATCATTTCCATATCTCTTAAGACAATGCCTTATCTATCATATGAAATGATTCCCGATTTAATTTAGCCTTTCTAAAATCACCTAGTATAGACCACTTCGTTGGGAAGCTAACACTATTGATTTTAGATTGAGTGTATAACGTTATTAAAACTCTAACGAAAAATTAAATATTAAATATGTTGTCATTATAATCTAGACTCTTTAAATCATGCGTAGGGCCTTATTTTTAAAGATCTAATTACAATGAACATTTAATATTTGTATTTTCATGAGACAACCATTCTTGTAATATTAAGACTCTTCAAATCATGCGTGGGGTCTTATTTTTGAAGATCTAATTACAATGGTGTTAATAACAAAGGCCATGGGGCAATGTATAAAAATCCCCGCTCCCACTCAATTTTTAATCATTCATAATTAGGGTTTTCATTTTATTCATTTACATGATATAATGCATGCAAAACGTCTTGATTTTAATCCAATTAAATTTAGAAAATATTTGGACTTTAAACGATTCACTAATATTTAATTTGAAGCACACTTTAAAAATAATTTACAAAAAAAAATAATTTTGCGTTTCCCAATAAGTGCCCTCAAATTAATTAGTAATCAAATCCAATTAATTTTCATAACTTAATTAATATAAATCAAGCCATTTAAATAAATATCATGGATCCAATGCATGAATAATAATTAATTAACAATTATATATTCCATGCATTTCATACATCGCATAAATAAACAAATAACAGATAAAGCAAATAAAATGGCCAATGGAATCAGCTTTTAACATTTAACCACTCTAAGTATTGCGCGAGGATCATCCATCGGCTTGCAAACACCCACATAAGGCTGGTACGCACCGGGAGAAGCAAAACACCACTTGGAACGCGCCTGGAGGGCCCCACACGCGCTTACACGCGCCTGGGGCATGCTGTAAGTGAAGGCACGCGCCCCCACGCGCTGGCACGCGCCACGCGCCCCCACGCGCTGGCACGCGCGTGGGGCGCGTGGGACGCGCCTCCACGCGCCTCCACGCGCGTGGAAACCATACCACTTTGGCTGGCGCGTGCAATGCACGCGCCAGCATATGTCTCCTCCTGGCGCGTGTTCCTCACGCGCCAGGCTCACCCCACCTGCACCACATCTGATCCCAGCCTTCTCCGACGCCTCTTCTCGCCGCCGGCGATGCTCCGGCCACCGGAAAAACGCCGAAAAATTTCAGAAAAATCAGAAAAATTCCCAGAAAATTAAATTAAGCCTCAAAAAATTCCAGAAAAATTCCAAAAAATTCAGAAAAATTCCAGAAAATTACTGAAGCATAATTTAACCCTTTTGGATCTTCTTGAAGCTTCATAGCATCCTTTGACGAAGATTACATGGCTTTAAAAATATTTACAATTTGAAATACAATGGAAAAAAAATTAAATTACATCATTGAACTTTCAAACGGCTAAATCAAAGCCTTAATTACATTCATCCAAAGATAAAATTACATTAATTTAACCTATAAGCTTCATCCATGGCCCAACCATACATCATCATTCATTCACAATCATTCATACATTATTATGTATCAATATATATCAACATATTAAATCATACATCAATAAAAATATATATGAATATAATTTTGGATCTATGAATGATGATTTTCATAAAATCATGATCTCTAGTAATGAATCAAACCATGCTCTGATACTACTGTTGGGAAACGTGCTAGTTTTAAAAACTTTTCGAGGGATTTTAATTCATAGATCTTGATTCATTACATAGAGACAAGTTTTATGCAAAAATAAAATATGATGTATCATTCAACTAAAAGATTGAATACTTACATCAAGGTTTGAGTAAACCTCAGATCTCTCCTCTAAAGTGAATATTCTCACTTATTGTAAATCCCTTTTGCTAGACATCTTTTCCATGGATCTCCATCTTCTTGGTAATGGTCTTGCCTTTAGGAATCACTCATAAGCCTCCATGAATGACCTTGGAAAACTAGGCTTGTGGGAGCCTCCATTAGATGATAACATAAACCCTAATTTTCTAGAGAGAGAAAAGTTATTCCTATTTTCTTCTCATCAAAATCACCCCTAAAATATACATAGACCATGTATATTTATAGGCAACATAAAGGTAAAGAAAAGGAAACAACTAATCCTTCTCAATCTCTAATTCACATGTCTCAAATCTAATATGATTCCAATATCAAGTTGGGCTATGAGTGAGAATCCATTGGGCCTATTATTTTATTGGCTACAATGAATTAATGATTGGCCCGGTCCATGGACCCAATTAAATTAATTCATAAATTAATTTCTACTCCACTAAAAGAAATTAATTGAACTCCAATTAAATAATAAATAACCTCTAAGTCAATGTTGCACTTTGACCTCTCTATGCATAATTAGTTATCGGATAAATAATGCCATCAATCCGACTACTTAATTAATATATTTATTTTGGTACCTTTGATTATTTCTGGCTCGATCACAATAAAATATTTGTTCGACAAAAATAATAATTTAATAAATAAATATATAATAAATCATTTTGTCTAAAATTATACGAAGGCCTTCGAATTTACTTTGTGATCAACCATAATCAATACAAAATAAATACAAGTAGTAATGATGCAAATATTGAAAATATAACCCTCTAACTATTAATTACATAACTACCCGAAGTGTCGGTCTAAGGATCCCGAAGAATCCGCCGAACAAATCAAAGTAATTATTAATTAATAAAAGAGTCTATACTTTTCTCATGCTTAAGAGTCAAATGCCATGACGGTGATAGGGAGTAATTGCATACGACGGCTCTCGCAATATTTCTCAACCTAACGCGGATCCAGTTCAAATCTTAATTAATTATGAGTCCATCTATAATTACCGACTATGAACCATTTATAATTACTATTTATATATCATGCATTCTCGCCATCACATACATATACATAAATATTTCTTGTAATTACATGGACACTATCAATTTCATAGTGAATCGAAATATAATACATTGAATTCACCAATTGTATAAAACATAAATATTTCAGAAACGTCAGGAACATATGTCAATTAATCCAAACAGGAATTTACTATGCCAGGGCATATAAATCCCACCACTTAGATGATACCAAAATTTTAAAAAGTTGAGGACAGATATGTGGCAAAACAGCTACCATTACCCACCCAAACCCTGCTTCTTTGGGTTTTAAATGCTGTCACAGCGTCATTTAATCTTCCTTTTCTAATCAATATTCATCAGTAGCCCGGTCCATGCAAGCAAAACAATGAAATGATAAATTCAATGACTCTAGATTTAAGTTCCTGAGAAAAAGGAGGAAAAGAAAATAAAATGAAATTCTGAGCTCGTGGTTCTTGTTCAGTCATTTTAATGTTCTTAGGATCCATATCCTAATTTCCTAAATAACAAAAAATCCAAGATTCAGAACTTCAATTTCTTTTACTTTCCTACACTAACTTTTTCCTTTTTCTACACATGGAGAACTTATTATATACATGGCAATTGAAACTAGTATACATGGTTTTCCATAAGATATAACTCATGAAGACTCAGACTTTCATTTGCTAAGACCTAAGGAGAAGCTTAAATATCTTAAAGGAAAATAAATTATTCCACACCGAATTCCAATAAAACAATCCCATCCCCTCTCAAGTCTGAAAACATCATTAAGAAGAAACTAAAAAAAAAAAAAGAAAAAATAGATAAAGAGAACAGAAATAAACAAAACCTACTCTAACAAAACAGTGGAACAAGAATGAGCTAGTGAGCAGCTCTCAACAACCGAAGATGCACCAACTGTTCCTAGAAGTCTAGTCTTTTTCTTTTACTTTTTTCTGGCAAGTAAGCAACGTGCACACCCATTTTGTCCCTCAAACTCCCCTTCAGGGAGGTGGAGATCACACCAACTAGGCCAAGGGCACGGTTAGTATCTTAAAGAAGATTTGAGAAATGATGGAGCTTCATTCTTGTTACCATGTGCCATGTACTAACCGGGTCAAAGTTCTTTTTTGAAACTACAATCTGGTGCAACTCCCATGTGCCACTTCACTAATTCAGTTAAAAGAAGATTAACATCCAAATAAAAGATTCCAAACCTTCTAGAGCAACATAATCCAATTTCAAGAAGAGGGTTTCAAACCAAGACAAGTAATTCTATAAGCCCCGGTTATATTTTGATGTGTTATATAAATTAAATTGGACTCAGTTCACACTATTATAACGTAGCAACTACTCCAAAGGACTCTATTCAACAAGTTAGATAGCTTTCCCTCTTTGCGTTTTGAGCTTAGCCTGCTGTATGCTTCCTTCTGCAATATTCCATTTTCTGATGATCAAGTTATTTCCTATTTTGGTTTCTATGCTCAAATATCTATTTTCTCTGTCCTCTTGAAGATTTTCAAAGCGCACTAAAAAGTCAAACATAAATAATTGAATACAATATCCCATTTTCCCTACGTATTCATCTAAATTTCAATAAATATATTTGAGAGAAAACAACCAATCATCCAATCATATAAAAAGGTAAAATATATTTCAGAGGCCCAGTAATCAAATAACATAGCATTCTTTCAATTGCAAATTTGCATTTCTTCATCCAACCGTGAGCAAAAACAAGCATTCCACAGTTAAGGGGAAAAAAGTAAATTCCTGATTGAAGACTGAAGTTTTACCCTTTACTCAATGCTCCACCCAAACAAGATCACAATAACCACTCCGCCACTGCCGCAGCCCTCATCCTCTCCTCCGCCGGCCAGTCCAGCTTCTCTAATATCCCATCCTCATCATCTCTATAACCATAATAATTCGCATCAATCCGCTTATATATATCATATCTTGTCCTCCTCCTCTTCAATTCCGGCAGCTTCTCGAACCACTCTCTCACTCCGGGCAACTTCTTTGCCGCACCGAATTACCAGTACCCCGGTCCACGGCCGCTAGGGTTGGGAACATCAACAATGTTGCCTTCCGAATCGATCATTTTGGCAGTGTGTTTTGTGTCATTGAGCTCGACCATTTGGCGTTCCCAGTGGCCCTCTTCGCGTATGAGTTTGTTGATTTCGTCGTTGAGGTCTAGGAGGCGGTGTTCGCCCAAACCCTCGTTCTGGATTTCGGCGACTTCGCGACCAATCTCGCGCATGATCTGCTGACGCCACTTGTCGGCTTCGGCTAGGTCGCGGCACTCGGAGGCCAAGAAGGGGCGGCGTTCTGTGGGCTTTTTCTTCTCCTCGTTCTTCATGGCGATGAATTGATTGGGCATCGATTGAGCTTTCTCTTCGTTTCGAGCCATTTTGGGACGAACAGGAACCCTAATTTGGAGAGACAGAGATTCGACTTTGGAGCACTCAAACGATTGATTGTAGAGATTTGTAGTCTCTCAGCAAGTTTACTCCAAAGGCTTAGATCGAGCTATATGTATGGCTTGTGAAGACGTCGTCGTAACGAGTAACTCCGTTATAATATAATCCGACCTCCTATTGGTTTTCCTTTAAATGTCCAAAGAATAATAAAAATAGAAAAAAATATATTAGCAAATGCTACTTTTCTTAATAAAAGATAAATAAATTTATAAATTTTTTTTCCCTGATTTAGACTCAAACTTTCATTTATACTTTTACAAAATTAAATATACAATTTAAATAAAAATTTTTATTGAACTTTTTCTGGTAGAAAATTTAATTGTTTTTTGTTTTAAAGTCATTTTGAATTCTGTACAAAATTTTTAATTAAATTAAATTTAAATTAATTATTATTTAAATTCATAATACAATATTCATCAATCAACTAAGACTTAAATGAATACGTAAGAAATTAGATTATATATTAGTTTATAATTTATAATTACAAAAGAATTACAAAAATAAATCTTCTATTAGTTAAGAGTATAAATGAAAAATGAAAGATTAAGAGGTTTAGAACTTAAATGGACTTTATATATATATATATATATATATATATAATATGGGAGTTATACTCACTTCTTTTAGTGAAAATAGTGAGATTTGGTGGATTTAAAAAAATAAATAAAAATAAGGATGTGACTTTAGATAACTACACATTATTTTTTTTTAAAAAAATAGGTTTGGTTTGGTAACTATTTATATTTATAATATAATTTGAAAAAAAAAATGGTAAATTGCATTGACACATCCCGAGATTTCGGTCAATGTCATTCGGACGCGAGTCAACGGTTTTTTTTAACAATGACTTTTTTTAACAATGACACCTGTAATTTCAAATATCATATTTGTCATAATTATTTAATTTAATTATTTTACAAAATATTAATTGACGAAACTATCGTCATCATTAACCCTCTTCTCCTACCCTAATCTCTTCTTTTTTTTTTTTTCTTTTTTTTTTTTTTAGTACCTAGACGACACTCCCTCTCTATCTTCTCCATATCAGAGAAGGGTGATTTTTTTTTTTTTTTTTTTTTTTTTTCATCATTAAATTTTTTAAAAATAAAATACAATGTGTTAAAATAAGTGTTTATTATATTATATGAGTCTCAAAAGAGTTTATTATTTTATCCATGAGCCTATAATACTGTAGTAATTAGTAATTACATCTTAAATTTTAATGATGAGGGGAAAAAAAAGTAAAAAAGTGTTTGATTTATTAATCACTTACAGAGAAGTGTCCGCATGCATAATATTTAAATTCTTATTATTTATTTTTTGGTAAGAATAATTTTCAAATTATTTAGCGTGATTGGCAAGTATAGGATAAGTCATGAGAACTCCATCAATGAATCTACAAGGAAAATAAATAAGGGAAGTTGAGATGATCTAGGATAAGTTATCTTTTTTCAACAGCTTTCCTATTTTGATTAGGATTAGGATGGGAAGAAATTCTATATAAAGTCTTGTAATTTCTATGGTTCAAATCAGAGTTTTGTAATCTTCTTATTTCCTCCATTCGGTGCAGTTGGATTGAATTTCTTACAAATTGAAGAAATTGGTCTATAATAAGCATGTACATGAAAATGGTTCCAAGGAACCTGGTTCGTGATGGGGCTGGCAGTGTGAAGATGGTTCCAGAAGAATCCGATGATTTATGGGTTGCTTATAACTTGATAGCTGTAGGTGACACCGTCTTAGCTGTTACAGTGAGGAAAGTTTTAAGAGAAACAGCTTCTGGAGAAACAGCTGCGGAACGCGTGAAGTTGAAACTGGAAACAAAAGTGGAGGCTGTGGATTATGACAAAGAAGGTGGTGTTTTGCGCATACGTGGAAAGAACATCCTGGAAAACAAACACGTTAAGATAGGGGCATTTCACACTCTAGAAATTGAGCTTCAACGACCTTTTGTGCTAACAAAGCAAATTTGGGACTCACTTGCGTTAGATGTACTCCGTCAAGCTTCAGATCCTTGTGCAACTGTGGATCTAGCGGTGGTTTTAATGCAAGAAGGATTGGCACAGATCTTCCTAGTCGGTAAAAGTGTGACAACTACTCGTTCACGGATAGAAGTGCCAATTCCTCGCAAGCATGGCCCTTCCATTGCTGGTTATGATGCAGCTTTGAGCAAGTTCTTCGACAATGTTTTACAGGCTTTCCTGATATATGTTGACTTCAAGGTTGTCCGCTGTGCTGTGATTGCAAGTCCAGGGTTCACTAAGGATCAATTTCATCGTCACTTATTGTTGGAGGCGGAAAGGACACAACTGAGACCTATTATTGAGAATAAATCTCGCATAATTCTAGCGCATGCAACCTCTGGATACAAGCATGGTTTGAGAGAGGTGTTGGATGCCCCAAATGTAATGAATATGATTAAAGACACAAAAGCAGCACAGGAGGTCCGAGTTCTGAAGGATTTCTTCAGCATGCTTTCAAATGATCCTGATCGTGCATGCTATGGACCAAAGCACGTTGAGGTTGCCCATGAACGAATGGCAATCCAGACACTTCTCATCACTGATGAACTCTTCAGGACTGCTGATATAGCAGCAAGGCAAAATTACGTTAAGTTGGTTGATTCGGTCAAAGCTTCAGGGGGCACCACGCACATATTTTCGTCTATGCACGTCTCAGGAGAGCAACTTGCGCAGCTGACCGGGATTGCAGCAATCCTTCGTTTCCCCCTGCCAGACCTGGAAGACATTGAGATGTGACAAGGAAGATTTTTGAGTTGTGGAGCTAGTTATTATTTAATTGGCTCCTCCTCCTTGTATCTTAGTTTATCTTCAATTTTACTGAAATCTTTGAAATTCTGCCTGCATCATATACACACTAATATATTAATACTAACATTAATACTTGCATTAATGTTAGTACCCACTCTGGATCTGTATTATCACTCCAATGATAAGGGGCTTTGCCGGAGACACCATTATTACTAACATCAATGCAAGTAAACCAAGGATGACTATTCTCTGTAGTGTACTAAAGTTCCAAATACCCTAACAAGCTGGAATGAATCCTTACCAACAATATGATCTGTCTCAATCTTCGGGTAATTGCACATGTATAATATGATCTGTTGCATAATGGAAGAGCAACAAGCCAAGGGAAGGTCAAAAGATATTCAAAGGTCAAAACTAACAAATACACCAAACAATTTCTTTTAAGTAAAGTAGCGTCTATGATGCAAAATATAACTTACATATTCCCTTAATGTTCCTTTCTGCTAAATAATCACCAAGTTTTTTGTGCTTTCTCCAATTTTACGTACTGAAAGAACATTCGACAGGAAATTAAATATATATGTTTGCAATTCTAAAAATGTTTAAGTGGAAAACAAGCACGTTAATCAAGCCACATGGATAGAAGCCAACATACCTGATTCTTAAACTTCTTATTACCAAACCACCGAGGAAGCACTGTCTTGATTCCTGTGTTACCTGGACTCGTCCTTTCCGGCGAGGGTGTCCGTGTCGACACGACACTACGCGGACACGGACTCGGGATATGCGTCCGACTTTGTACGGTCAAGATCGGACACGGCCGTTGAAGAAAACCTTGGTTTCAGTGGTCGGAAATTACTGGTTTCACTGGTTTCGCCGTGATTTTCAGGAAAGACGTTTTGGAGAAGACGAGGGTTCTTCACGCGTTGGTTTTGCATAGAAAGTTACCCTATTTGGCGCGTCTTTTTCACGTTCTAACGCGTAAACAAATTTCGACCGACACTGCCAGTCATTGAGAAACGTGTGTATATATATATATATATATATATATATATATATATATGGTAGTAGTATATATATATAATAATAATAATAATAATAATAATAATAAAAATAAAAATTGTGGTTAGTGGATTACCAGCTGTAACCCACTCACCGCAATTATGTTGACCATTTTAACCTAATTAAATAGGCGTAAATTTACAATTTTAACCTTATAATTAAACCATTTGTTGCGTTGTGTTTTTGCCCCTAAAAACAATCTGACTGTTCTTTTCTTTCTTCTCTCGAGTGTGTTGCGTTTTTGCCCCTCCAAAAGATCTGAGTGTTCTTTTCTTTCTTCCCTCTTATGTGTGTGTGTATATGTGTGTGTGTATATATATATGTGTGTGGGGGGGGGGGTTTTTGACAAGAATAACCTTATTTATTATTGATAAGGCAGAGACTATCATCTATGGTGGTTAAAGACTCTGGTTGTGCTAGAAGAATGATACTCACGTGGGACCTGCCTGATTCCTTCATACGGTCGCCGGCAGAGCCTCCAGACTGATACCACGGTGCGGCTACTGCGTCGCCGCTTGGAATCGGATGATCTTTGAGACTTTGGCTTAGACTTCTTCAATTTAGGAAACCCTAGACTGAATACGTCTTGATCCATCTGTAAGGCCTTATGGGCTGTTTAATTTATGGGTTGGCCCATTGGTTGAGGCTTTGGCCTGCTGTAAATTCTTTCTTTTAATAAAATACATTTACCTTCCCAAAAAAAAAACCTATTTATTACTCTTCGTTTATAAGTTAAAACAATTATGTATTTTTGTATTCATAGAAAATATTTTCTTCAGTTTTATTTTATTTTATTTTTTATTTTTCCCTCTCTGTTTTTTTCAGAGTTTATATTGCCAGCCAGAAACACTCTAATATCGCCCGGGAAACACTGTGGGCCCCTTTTTGTCCATTAAAATAATAATTTAGACAATGTTATTTTTGTGCATTGGGCTTTGTACATTATTTTACCATCATCAATATAACAAAATATATACAAATGTGTTACAATAAAATACACAATAGTTTATAACTTTACATGTATATTTATTTATTAATATTAATTCTTGTTTTTTAAAAATATAAATGACAATGATCAAAAGATAAAGACTTATTTGCTTTGACTTTTTAAAGTGGACAAATAATATTGTCTAAAATAATAAAAGATTTTTTTCCATAATTAAATCTCATAAATCCATTAAAAAAGGTAAATAAATACTTATGCCTTTTTTATATAACTTCCATATAAAAAATATTGAAAGCAAACTAATTTCATATTAATTACTAATCATGTTTGAGGTTTATAAATATTCTAAAAAATATTATATACATTATATTTAAATTAATTAACTTTTTATGCCATATTTAAAGCTCGGTAGCTGACATACTCACTTATTACTATATAATTTTCTTATTATTCATTAATCATGTTTAAGGGTATAAATATCCTACAAAAAAAAAAATAAAAAAAAAAATAATAATTTATATTACTTAAGTTTCTTTTCTATTTAAATCTCACATACCCAATTATTAGTAAGATAATTATATAAATAATTACACATTAAATTATTTATTTTATTTACAATAATATTAGAATAAAATTAAATATTTAACTTAAAAAAAAAAAAAGAAGAAGCTTATATTTAAACATTTAACTATATAATTCAACACATTGAATTATAGTTGTCCTAATTAAACACATTGAATTAAGGAGGCTATAATAGTATAGTAATCCTACACGACTATATAATTAAATACATGAAATTAAGGAGACTATACTAGTATAGTGATCCTATATAACTATATAATTAAACACATGGAATTAAAAATCTCACACTAGTTTAGTGATCCATATATAACTATATGGTTAAACACATTGAATTAAGGAGGCTAAAATAGTATAGTAATCCTATATGACTATATAATTAAAGACATGGAATTAAAAATCACACACTAGTATAGTTATTTATATATAACTATACAATCAAACACATTGAATTAAGGAGGCTATACTAATATAGTGATCCTATATAACTATATAATTAAACACATGGAATTAAAAGTTAACTAACGAGACTCTAGTGATCATTGATCAATTGATAACTGTATAATAATTGAACTCACGAGACTATAGTAATCATTATTTTACTATTGAGATTATAGTAATGAATAGATAAGTATATAAAAATTGAACTTATGAGAATAATTGCTTACATTATAGGTAAAGAAATAAAATATTTTTTACTAAATTACTGTTGCTAATTTTATACACTAATTTTGTGACTTCACATCATCATTTAATTAAGAATAGCTTACATTATCTATAGGTAAAGAATTAAAATATTTATTATTAAATTAATGTTGCCAATTCTATACATTAATTTTGACTTCACATTAATTAAGAATAGCTTACATTATTTATAGGTAAAGAATTAAAATATTAATTATTAAATTAATGTTGCTAATTCTATACATTAATTTTGACTTCACATCATCACAGTTTCAACAGGTACGAAATTTTTTTAATTTTTAAGTTCTTATGTCAGCATTGGAAATAGTGAAATACCACGCCTCCAAAACACATGCCCTTACAATAAGCAAGAAGTATAAAATTTTTAACTTAATATATAATATTAGATTTTATATCAATCAAAAGGCTGGGGTGATGGCTTAGTCAGTCATTAAATGCTACTGTGGCGTTTTGTGGCTCAAAGCAATGCACCATTCTTACACGCCACCTGCGCCATTTTCATCTTCTCTGTCTCTTCTTCCTGCACCTGCGCCATTTTCATCTTCACTCTCTGTTCTTCTTGCACCTGCGCCATGTTGCTCCGTCTCTGATCTCCAAGACTGCAACACAAACAACCCTTGAACAAGTATATATATCTTCTCTCCCTCTCTCTCTTCGTATGATTATACAACTGTATCAACCCATACTTGTATAATCTTATTTTATGCACCTCCAATAAATAATTTTAATTCTTTTAAGTTTTCAGAATATTTCTTGATAATTTTATTCTTTTAAATTTTATTATGTTCATTATAATTTATAACAATAGGTATATATAATTTTTCTCTCTCTATCTCTCTCTCATGGCAGAATTAGTAAGACAGAAAAGAAGAGGAAGAAGTCAGAATCAATTGTCTGCCAGAAGTCAGAAAACCGAAAGCCACCTTTTAGTAACTTGGGAAGGCGCCAGTTAGAATCAATTGTCTCTGCCAAGAATATAGTAACCGTACGTACTATTTCCTTTATGCATTCATTGATTATACAATTGAATTAATTGATACAACTGATACTGGAATAAATTTATTCTTTTAAGTTTTGAGAATTTTTTTTGATAATTTATTCTTTTAAGTTTGATTATGTTCATTAAATATATCATGCATTTATATATACACTTGTGCTTTAGAGTTAGGATACAATGTCCTCTCCATCTCAACAATCTATCAAAGGGAAAGGAAAGACAAACCTACGACCATCAAAAGCTCTGGGGTCAGAATTTGATGAAAAACCATTATGGAATCATGTAAAGGTTCTTAGCCTACCAGTACGTGGAGGTGGAAACAGAACCTGGTCTTGCAATTACTACAACAAAAAGGTTACTGGATCCTATTCAATAGTGAAGGGTCATTTATTGAAGATTCCTAATCAAGGGGTTGAAGCTTGCAAGTCTATAAATAATGATGAATTTCAGGCATTAAAGAAGGAACATGGCCATTCTGAAAGCAAAAAAGCTCAAGAAGAATTGAATGTGAGAAAGAAGGAAGATTATTTGTCCTTGCCTGAAGGATCAGATTTGTTGCAATGCAAAAAAAGAAGGGCATCAGCTCCAGGAGTGCTGGAAAATGCATTTAATGTAACACAAAGAGATGTGGCAGATAAGCAAGCTGCTCGCATGTTCTATGCGTCTGGTTTATCCTTCAACTTGGCAAGGTGCCCTCACTTCAGAAAATATTCACTCACATTAGCCAACAGCAAGTTATCAGGCTATACTCCTCCAACATTCGATAGATTACGAACAACATTGCTAGCCCAAGAGAAAGCACATGTGAATCGCAAGCTCCAACCGATAAAAGATACTTGGAAAAAGAAAGCCATGTCCCTTTGTTCTGATGGGTGGTCGGATAGACAACGAAGGCCACTGATAAACATAATGGCTGCATCAGTAGGTGGTGCAATGTTCTTAAAGGCAGTTGATGCAAGTGGCAACATAAAGGATGCTGATTATGTAGCAAATCTGTTCAAACCCGTGATCCAAGAAGTGGGTTCACAAAATGTTGTTCAAGTGATTACTGATAATGGAAGTAACTTCAAAGCTGCCCGGGCCATAATTGAAGGTATATATCCTCACATATTTTGGACTCCATGTGTTGTGCATTGCCTAAATTTAGCTTTAAAAAGTATTTGTGAACCATCTGAAAACTCACCTCAATTTGCTGAATGTAAATGGATTGCTGATTTGGTGAGTAGTGTGCAAAATATAAGAAATTTCATTGTTAACCATGGCATGGTACTTTCAATTTTCAACAATTACTCGGAATTGGGTTTGCTAAGAGTAGCGGAAACAAGATTTGCATCAAGCATTATTATGGCAAAACGCATGAGGGAAGTGAATGATGCACTTGAGAAGATGGTGATGGATCCAAGTTGGAGAATGCATCTAAAATGGGATGGAAAATCAGCAATTAAAATCAAGGCTAGGGAAGTTAAAATTTCCATTGTGAGTGATAGTTGGTGGGCTGATTTGGAATATCTCTTGGATTTTACTGAGCCTATTGTTGAATTTCTAAGGTTAGCAGACACTGATGCTCCTGTTCTCCATTTGATTTATGATATGTGGGACACAATGATTGAGAAAGTTAAATCTAGAATATTTGGACATGAAAAACAAGATGTGCTCACTGGCCAATCTAATTTCTTTGACGTCATTCACAATATTTTGGAAACACGACGGAATAAAAGCAACAATCCACTGCATTAGCTTGGATTGGAGGTGGAAGTGATGGAGTTCCACGGCTCTCACCACATGAAGATCAAGAAGTCTCTTTAAATAGAAGCAAATGTTTCAAACGATTGTTTAGCAATCAAGATGATCTTCGAAAAGTTATATCGAATATGGAGCTTTTTCAAGTGGATCTGGTTACTTTAATGAGCCTCATGTTATTGATGCAAAATTGTATGAGGAACCAATTTCATGGTGGGCTAATCATGGTGCTTCAACACCAATGTTACAAGCTTTAGCATTCAAGTTGCTTTCACAGCCCGCATCATCATCTTGTTGCGAAAGAAATTGGAGTACATATTCTCTTATTCAAAGCATCAAAAGAAACAGATTGACTACAAGTAGAGCTGAGGATTTGATCTTTGTACATTGCAACCTCCGTCTCTTGTCAAGAAAAAAGAAAGAATACAAGGAAGGGCCAATAAAGCATGCATGGAATCCTAATTCAGATTCCACGTAGTTTCCAAGTTTCCAACATAATTTGTAAAACTGTGAAAGAAAAAAAATTTACCCACCAAAATTAACACCGGTATTGCCAATATGTGGGTTTGTCATCAAGACCAACTGACCAGCATAACTAGGGTCTGTAAGACTCTCCTGATACCTCCAATAATATGACACAATAAAGCATACATGGAATCCGATCAGACAAACCTGTCAACTCATCAAGCGTTTTTTTTTTTTTTTTTTTTTTTTTTTCTCCCTCCACTCTCTCTTGGCCAATGTAAACTTCTGGTGAACGCAACTGGTATGTTTTCTTCGCTTTAGTATTAATGTCTTTTCTTTCTGCTGGAAGAAATAAACAGAGGAATAAAATAATCACCAAACCGATTTTAATTCCCACTGAAACCAGTAAAGTCCCTGATCAGTTTAATTCCCATATTCTTGAGCTGTTGAAAGATGTGAAGCTCCAAGAACAAAAAGCTCCCTGAAGCACACACAACTATAATTCACCAAAAAAAAATTAATAATAAATAAATAAATAAAAACTGAGACAGAAGTGCAATAAATTGAATGGTGCAGGTTGCATCCTGGCGCAAAATTAGTGGGCAACCTAATATGACATAACTCTACAAGATAGCAGCCACCCATGGAAGGAACCATATGTAATTGCTAGAGGTTTCAACATGACTTGTATTGAAAATACTCCTATAGAACTGTACTGTCTAGTTTATTGTTAGGCTTGCTTATGTTTTAGTTTTTCTTCTACTTTTTTTTTTTTATTTTAAGTCTAAACTTTCTATTTATATAACATAGTTTTACCAAACACCCTTGGCACCCAAGTGAACTCAAGCAGAATTCACAACTAGGAATATGTTTCACTTCCGTTCCACATTACAATACTAGTGACTCACTTCCGCTCCACATTACAATACTAGTGACACAGATAATCTCATCCTATTAGTCTCCTTGTTTTTCCCTTCAATAGAGGGACAAAAGAAGATTCACTGAGAGTCTGAAACTTTATAGAATATAAGAACCCCCGACCCCAAACCTTTTTAGATTTATTTATTATTTTAATTTTTTTACTTATATATTTTTAGTAGGGAATAGATCTAACCAGATGCTGAAAATGAACAGATTATATAGGAATTCGAAAGGAAATGTTTTCTTAGTCATCTTCCCCTAATTAAAAGAAATATAATATTTTATCATATTCAAAACTAACTCCTGGTATAACTAGACTAAAAAGCTCAGTGTGTCCTTCTAAATATTGAAGGAGACATGGAAATCATTTTTACTGTGATACTAAAATAAGTAGTCAATACTCTTCAACATTTATTTCATTTTCTAAACATAGAATCATAAAGAATTATGGTGTTTTCAGACAAAAACCAATGTGAAACAATTACGCCATAGGGCAGGTGGTTGGTTAGACACAATTATTATTCACTTCCCCGTTGATGATCAATTGATCATCCAATTCTTAGAGTACACTTGGCAAAAAGAATAGAAGCACACACATTATTTAAGTTTGCTCACTTCACTTTCACTGGGAATTTCCCAAGTCATTCATCCACATATTTATCAACAACCATGTCTGTCAATTGTTGTCACTCGTGCTGTTCTTAAATGTACCTTTCCAACATTTTCTAGTATACATCTTATGTCTGGATATTGTCTCAAAAAGTTTATTCTCTCCTCCCCAAACTCTTCCTACAGAGTTACAATCACCTTTCCTAGTTATTCCTTTCGTAGCCATATATATACACATATGTTACTAATCATTTACTCCGTATTCCATTTGAAAAACTTCAAAATTTTCCAATCGAACCAAAATTAAACTTACTCCACATGTTTAGCAAGGGCTTTACAGCCTTTACTAAATGGAAATTTACATAAAAGGATGACCTGCTGAACAATTTGCTTAGAATTTCAACTACAATGTATTAAATATTTTTGATCAAGTAATATTTTTTTTCCTAGTTTGATCACGTAATATTTTTATTTATAAATATATTATAACAAAATACAAAGGCACGATTTCAAATGTCTCATCAAAAGTGATTCTGTAGCTAATTTATTACAGAATTAACTAATATTCATTCTATAAATATGAATAATTCCTTAAAAGTTTTCATGGTCCCAGAATCATTCTAATGTCATAGGTACCCCCTATGCCCTACATGGTAACAGGTGTGAGCCAAGGTTCCTGAGAAAGCCCATCTCCAGCCACCAACTAGTTTCCCAAGAATTTGGCATCAACAATAGAGGGTTAATGTCTAAATGTCATGTCAAGAGCCAGTCATGTAACAATTTCAAAACTTGATAGATCATACTACGATCTGTGAAACAGAAAAAATAGTTGACATTGAGGCTTCTCCTTTCATTTCTTTGTTCATGAATGACCTGCTGCACCATCTGCTCAGAATTTCATTTACAATATTTTATATATTTCTTTGACCAAGTAGTCTATGTATGATATAAAGCAAAATGTAATCAAACAATTTTATTTAACTATGACAATAAATTCATAACTAGCACACTATTAACCAAATATATATCATAAATGTGAATGATAACTTGTTGATTTCAAGGTCCACGTATCATTCCAAGAGCTACCCTGGTATATGGGTCAGCCAAGGTTCATTATAAGTCTAACTCCTACAATAAACTGGCTTTATCAAGTATTTGGCATCAACCATAGAGGCTTCATGTATTATAATCATTTCAAAAGTCAATCATATAACCAACTTGAGACATTTGAGCGTCTAACACCTCACATCCATGTCCTATTGCAATAATCATGCCTAACTCCTCACATCATATGCAACATGTCACTCTAGCTGTAAGCAATCATGGGTGAAGGTAGGCTCAAGCTCACTCTCGGGTTAAGGGCACAGGAGAATGATTTGGTAATGACTTTGTTGGGAAACGTGCAAGTTTTAAAAACTTTTCGAGGGATTTTGATTCATAGATCTTGATTCATCACATAGAGACAAGTTTTATGCAAAAATAAAAATATGATGTATCATTCAATTAATAGATTGAATACTTACATCAAAGGTCTGAGTAAACCTTTAAAACTTTCCTCTAAAGTGAATGTTCTCACTTATTGTAGATCCCTTAGCAAGATGCCTTCTCCTTGGATCTCCATCTTCTTGGTAATTATTTTGCCTTTAGGAATCATTCATAAGCCTCCATGAATTACCTCGGAAAACTAGGCTTGTGGGAGCCTCCATTAGATGAGAACATAAACCCTAATTTTCTAGAGAGAGAAAATTTATTCCTTTTTCATTCTCATAAAAATCACCCCCTAAAATATACATAGACCATGTATATTTATAGGCAACATAAAAATAAAGAAAAGGAAACAACAAATCCTTCTCCATCTCTAATTCATATGTCTCAAATCTAATATGATTCCAATATCAAGTTGGGCTATGAGTGAGAATCCATTGGGCCTATTATTTTATTGGCTACAATGAATTAATAATTGGCCCGGTCCATGGACCCAATTCAATTAATTCATAAATTAATTTCTACTCCACTAAAAGAAATTAATTGAACTCCAATTAAATAATAAATAACCTCTAAGTCAATATTACACTTTGACCCCTCTATGCATAATTAGTTATCGGATAAATATAGCCATCAATCCGACTACTTAATTAATATATTTATTTTGGTACCTTTGATTATTTCTGGCTCGATCACAATAAAACATTTGTTTGACAAAAATAATAATTTAAATAAATAAATATATAATAAATCATTTTGTCTAAAAACACACGAAGGCCTTCGAATTTACTTTGTGATCAACCATAATCAATACAAAATAAATACAAGTAGCAATGATGCAAATATTGAAAATATAACCCTCTAACTATTAATTACATAACTACCCAAAGTGTCGGTCTAAGGATCCCGAAGAATCCGCCGAACAAATCAAAGTAATTATTAATTAATAAAAGAGTCTATACTTTTCTCATGCTTAAGAGTCAAATGCCATGACGGTGATAGGGAGCAATTGCATACGACGGCTCTCGCAATATATCTCAACCTAACGCGGATCCAGTTCAAGTCTTAATTAATTATGAGTCCATCCATAATTACCGACTATGAACAATTTATAATTACTATTTATATATCATGCATTGATTGCCATCACATACATATATATAAATATTTCTTGTAATTACATGGACACTATCAATTTCATAGTGAATCGAAACATAATACATTGAATTCACCAATTATATAAATCATAAATATTTCAGATATGTCAGGAACATATGTCACTATAATCCAGATAGGAATTTGCTATGCCAGGGCATATAAATCCCAACAGACTTAGCCTCACAGACGGTACCATAACTTATTAGATCAAAACATTACCAAAAATGACTGCTAGATTATAGAGGCAATTTTCTGGAGGGGCCTCAATATATTAATTACATATTCAGAACAAAATAAGCCAGGATTGTCTAAAGATCCCAATTAGCACTGCAAGTCAATTGGCAATATCCCAGCTCCGC